CCGGGGACGGCAGCCTCGGGCGGCCTCCCACAGAGACGTAGCATCGCTGGGGGAAAAGAGAGACCGCCCTTGCACGCAGGTAGCAGAGAAAATGGGAGCGGTGCAGAGGCATTGCAGTAGGTGGCAAGGCTTGCATTGAGATATTGTGTTAATTTGCTCTTAAAAAAGAAAAAAGGAACAAGCAAATTAAAAAAAAAGCAGCTATTTGCAGCAGCACAGAATCAAACAGATGGAAATCTGGCTTCCTTGCTTCTGTTACTTTCCCCCTTCTTGCCCAGTACAGGAAAGATTAAGAATTTGACTCAAAAGCCATTTATTTTACCACATTCACTCCTTTAATTCTCTTCCCACCTTGTAAATTCCTTCCTTCCCAGGCCACCCTTCTGCTCTTTCCAATGTCGCCCTGTGTTTTTCTCTAACCTGTCACTTTGCTCTCCCCTTCCCTTATCTCTGACTAGTCCTTCACACTACCCCCTCCCGATCACTTTTCACCCAGCGCCCGTTCATTTCCTAGATGCAGCAGTGTGATGGTAAAGTAAAACTATCTGCGTAAAGAAAATTGTCCACGAGGTTTGTCTGTTGCTAGAATCCTTCTGACATTTGCTTACACTACTTATTTTTAACTTACATAATGATATTCACAAAAGACAGAGACATTCCTCAGGCTTGTAAGTGTAAGACAGATGGCTGCCTTATCCCTCTGTGCACTGACAGCTATAGGTATGTCCATAAGGCTGCTGGTACTGAACATACTTCTCTCTCTCAAGCACAAAATGAATGATAGAAATTCAACTGCATTGTTTGCCACCATTTTCATTCTAGTTTATTTTTAAATTGGCCACAATTTCCCACCTGCCACAAGACTTTACATCACAAATAACGGTATTTCACTACAGAATTTTAGGTGCTGTGTGTCTGCCCCAACCAGACTCCTCTCTGCTGAGGCACAGCGTGACAGACCATACTTAACTGCAGAGAACAATCGTGGTACCAAAGGGAAATACCACTTTTAAATTGATGAAAGCAGCAAGGATGTCATATGTCACTGATTCCCAGTGTCTAATGATTATAGCTTCCTCAACAGGCACAGTAGAAAAAACTTCTAGCCTTTCATTTGCTTCCTCTTGGTCAAGCGTTTTGCTCCATATCTTCTTTTGCAATTTACTTTCTCATCTCGCTTCGAAACTCTTGTACGTTTTTCTGTGAGTTGTAGTTGATTTTTTTTTTAAGCTAACTTTGCATGTTGCACTAAAATGAGAAGTTGAAGTATCAGGAAGTAGAAAGGATTAAACCTTAAAAAAAAAAAATTGTGAAGAAACATTTCAGTTGCTAAAGACTGAAAAGTCTTACATGCAACGTGAAATTTGAAATTTAGGGCTCACCTCTGCAGGTATTGGTTGGCCCTGCATCTACAAATACAAAAAATGTCTTGTCGAAAGCATTCATCTCAATGTTTCCGTCTAGCCAAGACTGTTTTGCACTCAACTCAAAGCTGAACTGCAGCAGATGAAAAGTGAGGTTTAGAAAAGAGAAGTAGAAAGTGAACATAGAAGTTGTCATACAGCCTTTAGCAGGAGTGTAATCTGAGTATTCACTGACCTTATGTTCTTGTGAGAAACAGAAGAGAAAAGGATTTACACAGGAGCCTTGATACCTCCTTTACGTGGGAGATTGCATGGGGGAGGTTGTGCTGCGATGGCAGCAGGCGCACCTTCATCCAGCTCCCTGCAGCAGCTGTAACTATCCCCGAGAGCAGGGAGCTTCCTGCCTGCAGGACTGTGGCTCAAAGGTGTCTGAAGGAAGTGAACTTGAAATTTTTTTTTTTTTTAAGTGAAGAAACAAATAATCAATTATCATCTTGCTTATATGGTCTGCTCGCATCTGCTGATGCTAGCAATATGTCCATCACTTGGACAGTGGCAGTTGTTTTAACTAAGGAAGTTGACTTATAGTCCAAATTCTGTATTGTCCTTAGTGGGAGAAGATGCTTTCCTACCAGATGGAAACTTATTCTCTCACCATTGGCAAGGACCTCCCTCTGACCTCCGTTCAGTATCAAAGAGAAAGGCAGAGAGGAGTGGGATTTATGAACCTCCATCCCACACCCTTAAGCCTCACAGCATTACCCTGAACTACACAAGTGAAGCTTTCTGAAGAGGCGACTTTTTAAAAACATCACCTTAGTGGTCCAGAACTGTTGTGCAGTTTCCAGGAGTTCCTCCTCTAACTTCCAAATAACCTTCTACGTAACAAATCAAAGACTGGGGCTTAATTTATATATGCAAGCTTTACTCGAGATTACAATATAGGACGTAAATCTTGGAACTTTAGGAGTATATTTTTACAGGCAAGAGTTCATCCTCTTTCAGTAAAAATGACCGAATTCTAGAAAAGAAATGCACACGCATCTGCATGACCAAAAGCTCCCAAATCTTTACAGATCTGAGACCAAGCCCTTCTATTCCCAAATATTTTAATGGGAGTTTCTAAACAAACATTTGTAGGGTATATTAACTAAACAACAACACTGAGAATCCCAAACAGTGTTTGTTCCTTGTTTCCCACAGTCCAAGATGTAAAGAACATTGAGAAAAGTAAACTGAATTAAACCTCTGGCTTCAGAAGTAGAATGCACACATATTTTGATCAATAAGATATAAAATAATACTGTGTTCCTTTTACGATGATAGAAATTCATTATGCATTAGAAGAAAAATATTCCAGCTATTCAGAGCAGCCTGCAGGAGGATTTAGAAGACCGGTAATGAGCTCTCATGTGCTGCTGCGTGACTGAAGCTCAACTCCAACACCATGACTTTGTTGCTTCTAGAGTATCATGCAGAACACTATTTATATACCAACCACAGGCCAAATTACTGGATCTTAGCTGCATATATACAACATAACTTGCATATATGCAACATAACTTACACATATATTTTGTCTGGCAATAACGAGAAAGCTCTGCATTTCAGAATACAAGGGAAAGATGTCCTTGGTAATGCTGAAGCCTACCAAAATGTACCGATACATCAAAACCAATCACCAGGTGGAAAAACACTTAAAAACATATCTCAAAGAGCAAAGATCCCAAAAAATCTCAAGAATGGAAGTGGAATGAAAAGAAAAGAAACTGAAAACCTCTAAGTGTCAAGAGAATGGCATACAAGGAGGAAGAAGTTATTACATTTTAAGCACCAATGCAGAATATCCAGCAAGTACAAATCTTCAGGCACAAGCCAAGAACACACTGCACTGAACAGACCAAAGACAGATGATAGCACAGTGGCTGACTGATGTCAGAGGAGGTACGAAGGTTGGAAAGACTGCACTCCCGTTTCCTACGCTGTTTCAGAAACCAGCAGCCAATATTGCACATCATCTCTGCAGAATGCTGCAGCTGTACCTGGTTCATTATACTTAAGTTTTTTGTGTCTGCCCACCGCTGGGTCCTTAAATCTGCACCCCCTCTAAATAGCTCCACTGTTGACATGCCCAAACTGCCCATCTTCAAGATCATAATCTTCTGTTTAATCTCCACAGTCATAACAGTGCCAGCACCCACCTTCACACCTTCTGGTATCACAGTTTAAAATAAAAGTGGCTGTTATTAGGACTGGAAACATCTAACAAATGTGTCTGTAAATTACAATGTACATATTACATGAAATGAAGTAAAGGAGCACGAAGAAAGAATAGTTTCCAAACAAAGCAACTTTACTGGCTTACTTGCATGGTAAAATGCGAACAACATCGTTCTGCTTGTAACTCTCAATGCAGACAGCACAATGATCAAAGTCTGGGTCTGTTTCCTAAAACAAAGAGAATGAATATTCAAGTCAAGAGTTGAAGCTATGACAAATATAAAAGTAGTTGTGACTAGTACCTGAAGTGCGTTGTGCCAAGTGGCTGTCACTGAAGACATAAAACCAATGATTGCATTATTATGTTCCAACATGACTTGAGAAAGAAAAGCATCTCATACTTACAAAACTCTCCCCTCATTTGGAGCTGGTAAATGATCATTTGAAACACAGGCTAAGGCCTCAGACGATTCTAATATTTGGCTGAATCACTGTAAAATATAGTGGTGATTTTCCTAGAAGCTTTACTTCAGCTTGGAGCTAAAATTTCTATTTTATTCAGGTGTTTTGGGGGTTCTTTTGTTTGGGTTTTTTTTTCCCCAGGATAAGAATCCTAGAATTCCCATTTATAGCCAGAAATAGCAATTTTTACTTATCTCAGAGTTGTCCCATATTTTTGTCTCCCGCTTGCTTGCATCATTATCATCATTCTTATCCAGACATGAAGATGGGGATCACTGACTCACTGGCTCCTCTCTTATTCTCTATTTTCCAGAAGCTATGATTTTTTAAAATTTTTTTTTTAAACGTGAGAATTTAAAATTTCTAATGAAAAAAGGACTGACTTCACTTGGATGTAGATACGGCATCAGCAATACATATTTAAAACGTTTGTGCCTGTGACACAAAACAGACTGTACCATCTCTTAGTTCAGGTTCATTATTCTTTTTGATGCCAGCAAGCTACTAGCGAGACACCGAGACAGGAGCCACAGCAAGGCAGTGGCCAGTCCTTGGCCAGCACTGGTCAGGGCTGCCTGCAGAGAATCCCGAGGGGCTGCTCTGATGAAGGATAGGTTTTCTCCTACGCTCCGTTCACTTGCATGTGCATCTCGTGTTGTCTGTACTGCAACCTACACGTCACTTGCCAGTTTTGAATTTATGCTGTCAAGACAATAGCATCTTTTCTTTTAATGCGGAAAAACTCCTGTTATCTATATGTACTCCCATCCCCATAGAAAAGATTTAGTGTAGTAGGCTGTCTTGAAATAAAACTACACAGGGAGGGAGAAAAAGCAGAAAGACATTTTTTCTACCTTCTCTCTGGAAGCAAATTTTTCCATCGCTTCCCAATCTTCCATTGCTGATAGTGTTGATAAGAAAGATAAAAAGGAATCACACTAAAAAGTCCAAAGGAAATAATCTTCTCTTAAAAAAAAAAATCATAGCCAGAATTCCCTTGCCTTTTGCAAATTAAAGAGGAAAAATTAACCAAGATTAAGTGATTTTTTTTTTTTGTTTCACGATCAAAGACAAAGCAGTACTTCTCATAAAAGTGGAAAAAGTTTAGGACTTAACACACCATATATTGTAGTTTCTATACTGGCAAGAAGTATTCTTGGAGTAACATTTACTGTCTTTAATGAAATACCTGTTTATACTTCCCCCTCAGATTACTGGATATCCATATTTTACTTAAGAGATTGTCCTTTATTACCTGTCTTAAATTTATTTTTACTTTACACAACTTACATATGGAATGATTCTAAGCTTACAGAATTCCACATGAACAATGCTAGCCCTATGTACTCCTACCAGCAAAACCTCCCTAGCCAGCTAGCACACAAAACCACTCTGTCACAGTTGCCAGATGGAGTACAAGTAGTATTTAAGCAGGAAGAACTTTTTTGAAATGTACAGACTTACAGCATACATTGATACTAGAAGTTGCACAAAATACTGCGCCACAGGATAAAGTAAGCCTCCAACAAGGTCATAAATCAGAAGCAGAAAGGAAAAACCGAGATTGTTTCACCCAGCAAAAATTAAATATGATGCTCAAGTTTACCATGTTGAAATCTTATTATTATACCTTATCACCCTTCTTTACTGTCCTGGTTGTCAATTTGCCGATGGCTTTCTTGGCAGCATCTCCAAGACGACGCTAATAAAGTAACAAAGAAAAGAACACAAATTAACCCTGAAAATCAACCTTCATTACTGTCCTTTATAATGACTTATTTGGGCTCAGTGCTAACATCGCAATACATACTATGGCAGTAGGCCAACACACAAGACAAAAACTGTACACAGCAAAGCCCACAGAGATTTGCCAGGAAGAAAAAAAAAAACAAAGACAAGAGCTGAACCCACAAATGCACTTGATAAGCATGGGTATAAACCTCACGGACTGTATAAAGGCCCACGAATGTGGGCCAACATTGGTGTGACTAAACTAATCAAACCCAGCCCGCAGGATAAAAGCTGAAGCAACGTGTCCTCCCCATTATTTCTGTTGTATCCTGTTCATATTGCTTTTTATTCAGTGTGCCAGAATACACTCCTTGTTCTCCTCTTAAGCTTGAATTATTACTAATTTTTTTTCCCCCCTGAGCAGGCTGATATTATTCTGAGACGTAAGAGATCCTCAGTGTAACCTACTTTTTCTATTACCTGAAACCATCAGGATCTCACAAAAAAAAAGGGTCATAAAATCTAAAGAAGCCAATACAGACTTAAATAAAGCTGAAAAGAATACTGCTTCGAAGATGAACCGCAATCTAAATGCAGAGGCCAAATAACTTTTTATTGTTTATGCTGTTTTTATGACCACCACTGTTGGGTGGAAGGAGCCATTTCTGCAATTCAAGGGTTGATTCCTCCTGCAATGCCCAGTTCGCAGCTGATGAAGAATGGCTGTTTGCCAGCTGGTCTCTGGGATCCCACAGGGACTGAGTGGAACAGAGCTCAAGTCTTCTTGTTTCAGGAGCCCGAGATATCAGATTGGGTTTACATTGGCTGGAACAAGGGAAGTTGATGTATTTCATCCTTCGCCTCCATCTTGTACTAAGTACTCTGTCTTTACAAGAGACAGGCTGTGGCTGAGAATGTAGACCGCACCTATCAAACCCTCCAATACAGCTTGAGAGAAGTGTGCAACTTCTGTGCCCACCTCCTATACAGGTGAAAATCAAATCCTTCATAACGTGGACCCCCTTGTACCATACACTTTCTCTGCACAGAAACTGAAACCAAGAAGGCTGCTTTTATTTGAGAAACGAAGACCTCAGAAGGCCATCACAACTATATTTACTGTGTCAAGATCACTAACTGTACCACTATTATTCTAGAATTACATAAGCACTTTTTTTTGTGGTTCTCACAGAAGGACAGCTCTTTTTTTTTGTATTTTTTAGAGTATGGATTTGAAAAAAAATTAGATACTCAGTCCCAACTACTGAAGTTGAGACTCAAGTCCCAGATACTGAAATATACCCATGTAGGAAACGCAGCATCAGAAACAGAGCTGGGATGGGGAGTTTACACGATTCCTGAAGTTAGAAATCTCCCTCCTAACTTCAACATGCGAGAAATTGGTCAATTCAAGCAAATTTAAATTACATGTCCTGGTACAAGCATATTGTCCCGAGTGCTTAGAACATACTGGCACACTGCTGGAGTGGATAATCACTGTATAACCAAAAGTGTTATTACTAAGAGAGGAACAAGGCTAAAAAGGCATTTAACTTAAATGCTCAACACTACCACCTAAGTTGGACTGCATATGATTGTATATGCACTACAAGAAATCCTAAAGAAAGATTGTTTTCCTATTGGAAGCACAAAACTTCAGCAAAACTCTTCCAAAATGTATACATGTTCTCTTCTTTAAATAAATTTGCTAAACAATAACTTTCACCTCTTCCATTTAAGATACATGCCTTCCATTTTCTAATTTTAACAAATATTTTTTTATGCTAACATTGGAAACGCTCAGGATTTGCTATTTTGATAAGTTAGGGCATAGGAATACAGCATATATTTGCTTTTAAAACCCAGAACTGGCTTGATGTGGACAAGGCCACCACCACACGCTCAAGTTTCATACCTCTGGCAGAAGTGCGCAAGAGTGATGATGTAAAATACCAGTACCTACTTGCACTATCTAAGAAACACAGCATGGTTTTGATGTTTCTGATCTTTTTTAAAAGGTGTGCCTCAACATAACTTAAAAACAAGCGCATAGCCTAAACCAAGTTATTTCATCACTAACAGTACAGCCTTCTCTCTGTGAAAGCTCTCAAAGCTCTTTAAAAATAAGCTCTAGCTGTCACCACCTTCTTATTAAAGTTTAATAAGCTCAGCTTTTTAAACCACATAAAATTTTTATCAAGTTTCTCCTGACCTTTGTAAAAATCTAAAGAAAGAAAAAAGGTCATAAGAGCCCTTTCCCCATGGAGCAGCTGTTTAGAAACATGGACATTTGGAAGAAGCCTAGAACCATGTAGGGGATGCAGTAGGCACAATTTAGTATTCCATAGACATTCATTGAGGAACAGTTATATTTAAACTTTCACCATCCCAAGGGACCACACTAAGTACCGGCTACAGCATGGTCATTTAAGAATGACATCCTTAGGAAAATCTACAGGATGCCCAGGGGACCTGCAGCATCAGACACTATTTATAGAAATGAAAAAGGAAATCCTTTGTCACAACTGAGGCTTTATAAGTTTGCATTTGTTTTCGGTTTGACAAAACATGTTTAAAGATCCAAAACATTGCTTCACAGCGAGCTCCTGTGTATTCACTGTAATTCAGGGGGAGAGGGGGCAGAGTGACTACAGGTCAGCAGCTTTGTAAGTTAGCCTTGACAGAAAAATACAAAGGCAAAGAGAACACAGCAGATATCCTGAGGTTTAGTGACCCTTCTCAATAAAAGCCAAGGCACAGTATGGATGCAGTGGGTCATTAAGTCTGCACTAGTAAAACATTTACTTCTAAAGTTTAATCCATATTTGAGTTGATGCCTTGACTTAGTCAAGATCTCTGAGTTTGGCTGTTACTTAATTCAGTTCTTAAACAAATTAGAGTTAAAAAAAAAATGTAAAAAAGGCATACTAGACAAAAATTTTACTCAAAATACATGACCAAGAGAATTAGGCGGTCCACACCAAGCATGATCTCGAATAAAGTTGCAGATCACTAAGCAGCTCTGTACCTTAGTTTTTCTTACCTTAACATTCATGACAGATCATAGTTTGGAAATACCTTTATACAACTTCTGAATTACCTTAACTATTACTAAAGCTATCCTTAATAACATGGATATGATAGAACTCA